AAAAAGGATCAAATAGAAAATAAATAAATGCAATGAAACCATTTATAAACATCCCCTCGCCCCACTACCTGGGGAAGTTCCAGCAGAGAACAGGAATAATGCTATCCATCAGTTCAGTGGCTGGGTCTAACCCGAGCAGGTCTCTAAAGGACCACAGGCAGGGATGCTCCTCTTGGGCCCGACGTCTCCAGAGGCCAAGGCCTTTCTTTCCAGAGCCATTTGAGAGAAAGTCAATTCTTTTTTTTTTTTTTTTTTTTTTTTTTATTTTTTTAAAGAGTAAGAAAATTTATTGGAGAATAGGCATAGGAAATAGGAATAGCTCCTGAGAGACAGGAGGGGACCCAAAAGTGGGCTGCCCAAGAAAGCCAATTCTTAAAATGGCTTCAGCATCAACTGAGTCAAATTCTTTCAGCAGGTGTAGAGAAACAAGACCTCAAGACCAGGGGAAGTTTCTATTGGGGAAGAGGAGTTAAAGCATTAGATCCCCTTCATGAGATGGGTGCTTCCAGCACAGTATTCCTGGCCACATTCTGAAGACGCTCACAAATCCAAAGATGTTCTAAGCCATAGCAATGCTAGAGGAATAAAGCGTTCCCTGATGACTTGCCTTAAATGGGGCTTATGTTAAGATGATCAGCATCCAATACTGAAATGTCGTAAAATGTTTTTGACATATTTACCAATGAAACTGTTTTGCCTGCCCCTAAACCCAGACAGAATTATACCAACTTCATGAGGAATTTAGTCAGTTTGAGCTGCGAGGGTCCAATAATGATATTCTAATAAATTGGATTTAAATTCTGTGTAATTCCTTGTGCATCTTATACTTTCTCGAGTGCAGGTTCCAACTCACAACTAACTCACATGAAGAAGGAGCGGAGTCTGTAGGCTCACTGCTGCCAGGGGGAGTGGGGAGCGAGAGCCACCACCTGCATGTGTGTTTGTGTAGTAGGGGCCTGCAGTGCTGACGCTGGGATCACTGTGTGCTCAGGAACCTCCTGACTGGGAACTCGACAAGGCACCGAGAGCAGGGAAAGAACACACATCAGCCAGGTTCTACCCAAGGAGTCGAGGGATAAGGCAGAGCTCAGATTCCACAAAAACGAGGCTATACACAAGGTGACTAGTCAAGGTGAATGCTCCACGTGACAGATTTTGGCAAAAAAACAGGCAAGAGAAGGGCTCTTTCTGAGGGGTTGGATCAACAAAAACAAATCTGATTCCTGTTTCTTATTGGTGCTGGTAAATCCTTGTTGGAAATGGCAGCGTGTGCCATGAGCGTAGTGTGAATGTGGGTAACGAGGCAGCTACTTTTTCTCTGTGGTGAACATCAGCTGCTTCAAGGGAGCAAAATCAGGGAGGGCAGAAGAAAAGAGATTCAAACCGGACAGCATGGTGATAGGGGTGAATGCTTAGTGACAGTGAAGGGTACCTGGCCACTCAGAGAGGGAACAGAACTGGGTGAGAGGCATGGAAAGGTAGGATGCAATCATAATCCTGTCTAAATATCCATGGCCAGCTTAACAATAAGGGAGTGAAGGAGGGCCTTTCACTCTTGCCATTTTATCATCTGCTCCAAAGATCCAGAACTTGGAGTTTTACTTTAGTAAGAGAAACTGGGGCCAAGGAGGTTTTCTACTGGCTGGTCTAGAAAGCAAACCCCAATTTACAATGTTGTCTTTAAGGGAAAATATGTTCTGAATTCCAAACAATCAAATGAAAAAGACTGGGGGCACGATCCATTCATAAGTTGGAGTCTGCCTACAGTTTACTTTATGTATGAGATAAGGTTAAAACATTTGATTGCCTTATAAAGAAAAATATGCCCTTGTCCTCTCAGAAGGTTTATATAAAGCTAATTAGAATCAGACCTACTGCAATCACCAAAAGTAAGCCATTTTAGACACAGAGTCTTTACAATGGTATGTGCCAGACGAACATATTTCCTTCTGGGCCACAGAACCTGATTTGCTGCTGTTCTCCAGCGTTTAAATGGAGTGCCTGCCTCTTACTGGGGCATTTGTCAGACACCTGCAGGGCTTCCAGAGCTGCGCCTGCTGGTAGGACAAGAGGTTCCTGCATGGAAACCACTTGCAGACCCTGGACGTTCTTTGGGTTCTTCTCCCTACAGGGCCTCACTACAGACAAGTGTGGCCCAGGGCAAAAACAAAACCAGACACATGCAAGAGGCAGCCAAGGAGGGAAGACAGCCACTGGCTGCGGAGCCTGCTCACTGGCAGCAGGGAGGAGCCAAGGGCGTGCTGGGCTTCTGCCAAGGAATCAACCAAAGCTGCCTAAAATTTACAAGGGAAAAAAAAAAAAAAAAAAAAAAAAAAAAAATTCACTGTTAGGTAGGGAAGGGAGAAGGCATTTCTAGGATCAGTGAAAATATTAGCCTTAATCTGTCTACAGGAGGGGAGCTAAGACTTACTGAGTCTAATGCACCTTGGTCTGGTAAAGTCAGTCTAAAAGAACTGTGAACCAGGTAGAATCTCAGGAAACTAATGTATGAGAAGGGATACAAAACCACTGAACATTTTACAGGTGACAAATTCTCAACAAAAGAGAAATCAGAACATGTGAAAAGATTATTAATCTCTAAAAAACTATTTTGATGATGATAAAAAGATGAAGGAATAGCTTTTGATCACATTATTCCTAATTCTAAGCCTATACTCCCCATGCATATACAGTTTTAGAAAGAGAGAAAATAAGAAAAGTCCCATAGAATGGCAAGTCTTACCGTTTCTAGTTCTTTTTGAGTCTCATCTTCCATTCTCCTAATGTCTTCCATTGTCAGATCAATCCACTTGTCAATCCAACAAAAAAGCTGGCGGTGGAAGTTTGTAAATATCCTTTTTTCTTGCTTTAAAAACAAAGAAAAGTAGCAAAAGATGGCAAAAACCTAAGATCGATGACATATTAATTTTACATATCTCAACCCATGAAACTTACATATACTTCTTTTGAAAAGACCACCCTATATGAACTTCCATCCTATTATGATTGTATAGCGGAAAATGAAAAGAAAACTTTGTCTATGAAATGGAAAATAATCTCCCTTGGCAAAGGTATAATGATCTAGTAAAAACTAAAACACTGTGGTGTGCACAAATTGATCTAACATACTTCTGCTGGACCCAATCTATTTTTACCTTTTCTAAATGTCATCGAGCAAAGGGCAACTACATTTTTTTCTGCTATGAAACTAACGTCATTCTTCACCTCTCTGCAATTCAAAGGAATGAGGCAGAACACAGTAAAGGGCTGAAAGAAAATAGCTCCGGGTTCTCTGGGACAAAGATGTTCTTCTAAAGTAACAATTATGTATCACACACATACACATTTCATTAATTTTCTGTGCTACACGTTACTGTCACTATAATAAGCATAACCATATATACAAACAGTGGCTTAAATTTCTAAATTACTTAAATTGTACTCAATTTTTCCAATAAGAGAAAAAGCAAACAGTGAGTACTTCTGGACAGTCTTCAACTTCTTAACATTTTCCACAAACAAAAGGGACTTCACCAATTACACATGTGACTTTTATTTATCAGAACTGGAATGGTATTCTATTACTATAATCCAAGAGAAATGGAGCCAATATTTAGAGTGCCTACCATGGGCCAAGGGAAAACAGGCCCAAGAATAATCAAGGTTTCCAGCACTTTAGGGTCCTTTTCTTTTACTTGTTACAGTAGCTACAGTAGAAAAGCAAAAAAAGTTAGGGTCAGGGCTATTGTTCAGAAGCACTGTGCCTGCCTAGGCAAGCACAAGGTCCTGAGTTCGATTCTCAGTAAAGAAAAGTAGAAAAGTTGTAGTGAAACACAGACAAAACTAGTTGTGGGAATCAGAGACAGAATGGGGGATTCTTTATATGATAATGGCATAAATATTCACGTTGCAGGAAAAGTAAATACCATGGAAACTTTCCACAGCCCTTGCGTATTTCTAACAATGTGTGTTTTTGTTGTTTCTGTGGTGCTAAGGATCAAACGCAGGGATTCTCTCATGTTAGGAAAGCACTCTATCATAACCACATCCATCTACAAAACTACAATTCTCCTCTCCTCTTTGATCTGATTGCCTATGTTACTTACATTTAAATAAAGAAGACATAAAAACATATGAGAATGTGAACCCTAAGTAAGATCCCATCACTTTCATTCCAGCGTATACCCATCTTCAGTGAGAACCTGTAAAGAAGTCACCCCACATGATAGAGTGTTGTCACCAGGTCCCCTTGGGGGTATACTGGACATGAAAAGGGCTCTTTACAGAAGTGCTATGTAATCAGGAAAGCACCCTTGAATAAAAAACTGCTATGGACTTCCCCAAAGGAAGCCCCTTAAAACCTCTTCCAGCATCAGTCATTGCTTTTTCTAGGGGTTAAAAAATAAAGCAGAAATGAATTACATAGGAATAATAATTTTCATCTCATAAAGGAGGAAAAAGTAACAAAATTTCCATTAGTACTTCTCTCAATTTTTAAAGTAAAATTATTTATATCACCACATTGTGAACATATTTTACCTTCTGGATGAAGTTTTCTACTTTGTTTTGCAGTCCCCACCACTTGAATTTGATGGTCACCAGCTTATAGGCACACATTTGAGGACAGTCAGGGTTGTTTGCCAGCTCCTTCTAGATGAGTAAAATCAGAAAGGAGAAACTGTGACTTAAATATGTATATTGATTAAAAATGACTTGTGTAACATCACCACAGACATAATGAAGAAAATTAAGAGTCTTGTGTGTTTAATTCAGACATATGGAAATTTAGAATCATTTCAGCAAAAGCAGCGGCATTTCCCTGGGGCAAACCTTCCTTCCACAAACAAACCAAGTTACTTCCTACCTCTCAAGTTTACAGGTGTAAAGTTCTGCCCCAAATGACAATATTCAGATTTCTTATTAAATACCAAGTTCTACTCACATCGTATCAACATTGAGCCTTTAAGATGTAAGGGTTCTCCTAACACCATTCTCATACTCCCACTGCGGATGTGGTAACAATGAAAAAAATGACAGTAGGTTTAGTCTTCTTTGTCTTCCAATATTATCAAGTACAATGACACTAAGGCTGAACTGAGGAATTTTCCTAGCTTTTTTTTTTCCCTCCCCCTGGTACCAGGGATGGAACTCAGGACTTTACACTTGTGAGGCAGGCGCAGTGTCACTGAGCTAAATCGCCGGCCCCTGAACTGAGGTATTTTCAACAGAAAGGGTAAATGAAAAGTGGTGTAGCAGTAAAAAATATCTGTAATTACCAAACATGTAAGGCAAATCTTATACACACAACTTTAATTTCCACAAATGCTTACCCCTCATAGTTTAAGTGGTGTCGTCAGGGAATAAAATCAAGTCTTATTCAGAAAAAACAAGAGAAAATATTTTTTAAAAAAGAGAACTGGTGGGATTATCTGCTTTAGAAGAGACTGCAAATACAAAATACGTCTGCGATTTACTTTTAGAAGTTGACAAAAAGACACAATTAGAAAATGGAGTGACAAATGTCACCAAAGGTTCAGAGTACAAAAATCTACTCTAAATGTTTAGGCTTTTGTCTCCAAATTTACAATATGTATCTGTGTGGAAAGGGGTGGGGGGCAAATACAGTTCCACAGACTGTAAGCACGAGTAGTAGTGTTCACTATTCTACTGTTTCAGCTTTTCCAATGGTTTACTTTTCATCATAGAAGCAGCATAGGGAATCGTACCCTCTGGTGGTACTGATTTCTGTGTAACTTGCGAATGTGGCTCCTAATTTCATGAGAGCAATAACAAGCATGTGTATTCGCGGGAAGGAATGAATGTTTTCACTGCAAGTGAGGTTGCTTCCAAGACTATATAGGCAAGGAAACCCAATCTCCAGGGCAGACATGGAGCAGGGAACAGACACAGGCACAGTTCTGCCTGCAGGAGCTCACAGTCTAGCATGGAAGGTCTACATCCGAGAAAGACAGAATGTATGAGCAGACCGTAGGGGAAAATGGCAATTCTGTAAGCTCTAAGCCCTAACGTTGGTGTGCCTATAAGACACCAAAAAACAAAAACAAACAAAAAACTAACACCCCAACTGCATTGTCTTCGGACTGTCCTGAGGAATAACTATAGCAGTATGTGATCCTTACTACTTGAAAGTACTCAAGGGCTTTGTTTTCACTCTTCATATTCTTTAGTAACAATCCCATTCAGCACTTTGAATCTACATGCAATTATAACCAAGCTGCCCTATAAAAGTACAAAGTCTCAAATACTATGAGGATCTGTCTGTAAGACTATAGACTAAGGGTAGACAAAATCTTGCACAAGGGCGCTTCCTTTTTCTATCACTACTCCTAGCTCCTTACGTCAAGTCCAGGACATCACCATCAGTCACACTCTACACACTACACGTCACTGTCACTCCACCAGCTTCAACAAGCACATCCCACTTTCTGTAAGTTGTGTCTGAAGAAAGAGCCTCTCCATTCAGGCACACAAATTCAAAAAAATGATGAGTTTGTGGTACTGAGGACTGAATCCAGGGCCTCTGCATTGAGCTACAGATCTTTGTTGTTTTTAGTAGAGCCTCACTAAGTCACCAAGTTGACCAGGCCGGGTCTGAACTTGCAATCTTCTTGCCTCAGCCTCAAAGAGTGCCAGGATTACAGATGCAGACCTCCATTCCTAGCTTGAATTTCTGGGTCCTCCATTCCCAGCTTGAATTTCTGGGTCTTACTCTAAAACCTCAAGATTATTGCTCATTTATGCAGCATCAGACTACATTTTCCTCAACTGGCTATGACATCTGGGTTTTCAGTGAATTTAGGGATATGCAGTATCAAAAAAAATCTATCATTAACAGGACCAAAAGTTCCATAGAGTCCTGCCTGACTGATCAACTTTTCTTAGGATATCTGTTCCGAAATAACATTTCAACTTCCAAATAATAACCCAGACTAGAGACACAAGCAATGAAGTAATACCAGCAAGCCTTTAAATGAAAATATCACTGCATACTGTCCTTCTGCAGGTAAGTTCTACAACAAAAGAAGACTGTGGAAGGCTTAGCTTTTTTTTTTTTTCCCATGAGCCCCACCCCCATTAGACAGAGTTCCAACATGAAAATTTAGTGTGTGTGTGTGTGTGTGTGTACTTAAACACACACATCATCCCATAATTTATGGAGTAAACTGAATACAGTAAGTATTAGGTGGGCGTCATTTACACCTCAACATGTGCTGGGTATTGTCAAGGAACATAAAAATAGCTCATAGAGAACATTAATTATGTATAAACATAATGATAAAATATCATTGTTGCTCTTGGTGCCAATAATCTCTTTCACAGGGACCACCCTTCTATTGTGGATGCTGTGGTCCTGGGTTAAAAATCATACACTAACTTCTACCCCACTCTTTCCATGACTGGCAGGGCCTGGCACTAAACTGGGCTCCTGTGCGTGGAAGAGAACCACCACCTCCATACGCACATCTGCCTTCTAAGAGTCCAGCTTTACTGAAATGACAAGGTTGATCTTTCAAAGATCATTTCTTTCAATAAGCAATGAGCCAATGCTATGGTACTTTCTAATCCAATGAGTGCTCCTGAACACACTCCTAAGCAACACAATTTGAGTATCTATAGAATATAGCAATTAAATTGTGAAATTTACTTGCCAAGCAGGAGCACTCAACTAGAAGTTGAAGACCTGGGCTGCAATTCCTGTCACGCAGACTGCTTCTCCGAAACCTGGGCAGAATCCCTAACTTCTCTGGACCTTGACTCTGAGGCTACATGTGAGAAGAAGCCTACATTCTATCAGGTCTCTTCATCCTCCACTGAAGCAAAACCTTAAAAGAGCAGGGGTGAGTGAATTTAGCAACTCCATGGCTTGGCTGGAGGAAAGGCTGCAGATGGTAAACACAAGGCCTTTGTATTCAATGGCTTGTCCTAAAACTTCCTATAATTTTGTATTTTCTTCTACAGCATACCTTGGCTTAACAAAATACTCCCCGGGCCCAACTACCCAGGTTCAATCTGCTCTATGTCTGAGTACCTCACCACACCAATGATTATCCCTAAGACACCTTCCAGACTGAACAATGAAAGGTCCTATTAACTATAGACTGCTTCATTTAAAACCCTGAATGGCTGGGCACCTCATCCCCCACAGAAACCTCAGGTGATTCTGTAAAACACCAACTCCAGAATTCTCCCACAATTCTATAAACACCAGGAATGAAGCATGATTTTAATTAAAGGAGAAAGATAAATGTAACACAAACACGCCTCTACCAAACCTGGGCACCAAGGGCAGAGTGCACACATCACTTCAGCAATTAACCACATTTCTCACATGCTTTATACTGACTGGCAAACTGCTCAAACCAATTAATTCTGGTAATTTATAAGGCAACACTGGCTTATAAAAATCTATTTTAAAATTAAGCGATGAGCCAACAACACTCAGTTCTCTAAACTATCTCACCATATCTAAAATGCACACTCATTCTCAATCTGCTTTTTGTTTTCCATCCAATTTATACTTACTAAAAAACAGCACAACAACAAACAAACTTTCAGGGAAGAATCTGCAAACCAACTAAAAAAAACAAAGGAGTAAATACCTGCTGCCTTTATTTCCTGACCTATTCTCCACAGTATCACAGACAGTGACTTACAAAAACATAATCTCAAATAGTCTAAAAAGATAGCTGAAAACACACAAACTACATTTTTTCAATTATTATTATTAACACGTGCATGATATATAAGATCATATCCAATTCTAAAAATGACATATAGGAGTCAATCTTAATTTGAAATACGGCTTTCAAACCAGTGATTAAATTAAGGAAGAGACTTTAAAATTCTCCATACTAGATGATGTAACAGAAAACTGTGAAAGTGCTAACCGTGTTTAGTAGAGCCTTAAACAATCCTTTTGGTACCATCTTTCTGGGGTGAAATTTGATACTATGTAATAAAAATTCCTAAAGCTGCTCCTATCTTAACCATGTACCTGTAACCTGCTAATTCATCTTTCAGAAACATATCCTATTCATTAGGTAAGGGCACAGCAACACCATCCATATATTTGTTTGTATTAGCAAAAACCTATACTTGTTAACCTCAATCCAAACTCAACAGTGGTGAAATACTTCACAGGCCTTTTAAACAATGAGCTATGATAGGTATAGCCATGAAAAACCATCTCTGAAAGAATATTTGGGGATTCAAATATAGGTATCTCTATATGGTACAAATATTTTATAACAAAATAAACTAGAGGAATCAGAAACTTTACCAAATAGTAGTAATTAAATGGTGGAAATATAAGTAATTTTTGTTTTTGTTTGGATATAATTCCTTATTTTCAAACTCACGTATTTTATTACCAAGGGTACAAGGAACCTAATGCTTTATAAAAAATGACTATAAAAACATTTTGGCCCTTAGCCACGTATTTTGGGACAAACATTTGCTTTCCCCTAAACTGGGCACTATTTCAAATCTTAATTCTCTGACTACAAACAATCTAAAAAAATTTTTTTGACATTCAATAAATCAAAGCTGAACAAAATAAAGCTAAAATCTGAATTAGGATTTTTACTAGACAACTTTAGTCCAGGCATTTTTCTTAAATCACAAGGTAC